CGCAGGGCTTGGGTACGGAACTTCGCCTCGCTGTCGTCCAAACCGCGTGGGGGGAGGTGTTCACGGTGGAAATCGGAAATCCCTTCATGTAGAAACATCGTTTTCTATGCCTAAAATGGTCGTAGACGGCATCTTAGCCACCTAAGCCTCCAATTCTAGGGTCTCTTCTAGGGTCTTGTCCTTCGGAGGTGAAGGGACGTCCAATGGACCACGAGATGGAGATACGATGCGTCGAGAGACCCAGACATGGCGCTCGTCCGATTGGGACCCCGGTCCTCGTCCTTCCAAACTCGGAGAGAGCGGTTTCACTCCAAACGAAACCATCGTTGCTTGCTTTCGTCCCTGCTCAATGTTCTCCACATTTCTCCACCACTTGCGATCCCAAAATCCTGTATGGTATGAAATTGTATGCCTTGAATGATTTGGTTCCCCCATGTTGGGGGACATAGCTCATGCAGATGCATATCCACTGCTTTGTTTGATTGATAGGTCGGATAGGCCTACATTGAGCCATTGAGCCCTTCTTTCAACCACCCGAATGATTGGCCCCTAATGGTTCTGTAAATCTGTCAGTCGCTTCTTCAAGCGACACCTCGATACTGGATCGGCACAGCCGCGGGAGGAAAGGGGTGACCAGGCTCTTCGATCGTGGGGCGTGGGAAAGCGCATCTGGCTGGTGATTTGTATAAAATTGGTGTTTTTCCCATCTTGGCACTTGCCTAGCCTTTGGAACACACGATGTTCAGCTTGACTTACTGGGAGCTAGCTGAAAGGCAACAACTTGAGGGCAACACGTGCAATTTGCGAGGGAAAGGACTTTCATCTGTAGTGCACGATCTGGCAAAAATGCGCACCAGAAGTGTTCAACCCAGAGCTTCAAGAAATACAAGACACGCCGAAACTCACACATCACATGGAATGAAAGTGAAGACCATCCCTTCTTTGTAGAGCTAAACAGTCCAGGTCCATGCCTCTGAACATCAGATGAATAGAATCACCCTGCTCATCAGGGAGCTACGGGTACATACCAGCTGCTTTCCGTTGGTCACCTGGCTGGATATCTCCACACTACGTTTTCCAGGTCTCCTACTCCAGGGCATCCACTCCAGGAAGCGCTAGGTAGATGCCTCAAATCCAAGAGCCCAAGAGCACTTCAGTTCCATGACACCTCGGGGGCTGCTCCGGACCTCCAGGTCTCTCGGAGCTGCTCCGGGCTGGGAGCTCCCGGCCACCGCCTCCTTGTCCCCCGCAAAGTCTGCGCGCCGCAAGTCGTCGTAGAGCTGCTCGATGCGCCTCGGCAGTCGGAGGGCCTCTTGAGGCCAGGCCGTCGATGCAGCGGTCGTTCTAGTGGAGGGAAGCAAAGGTTACAGTGGGGTCAGAGTAGATGGCACTGGCACCCCATGACTTTTAGAATGGCCTTTATATGAGCCACTCAAACTTGAGCACTTGCTCTCAGAATTCTGCGTCAAGCTCCGCGTCCGGGTCCGTTTTTCCCTGCGTTTCCGTGTCGGGTCTGTTTCCCCTCTGCCACGGACTGTTGGGTCCCAGCATCTTTGTGTTCGGGAGATGGTTCAGATCCGATCTCTTGTAGAATTGGTCTCAAGAATGCGCCACCTTTCGACCCAACATAAGGGGCTTGATAGAGAGAGATGAAACCTCAAGATTTCGATCAGCTACTAAGAGATTGGCGAAACACCTTGACTGAGGGGGAGAAACATCCGTATACCATGCAACGGGGCCCACCTGACTCGATGCTGGTCCCGAAACGGACCTTCTTGAAGACATGTTCTCTCAGGCGGCCGAGTTCGTGTCTGTTCGAATTGGAAGCCTCAAAATCTTCTGCATCACTGGCCTCTGGTCACTCCGGGGTCACTCCTTGGGGATTTGGACCCAGAAAAAGGAGCTCGGTCGACCAGTTTCGTGGCCCAGCTCGCCTCTCCAAGAAGCGATCATCGAAGCGAGGCCACTCCAGTTTCCTGGCATGTCGTCTAAGGCCAGGGGAACAGCGCAGCACCCGTTGGCACCCGTGTCCTTCCCCGTGTCCAGAGAGAACCCTCCCAGGTCGTTGGACTCAGGACAAAAGGCTCAGTCTTCCCGTTCGTTGATTTGGGGGACCCCAAAAATCAGTTGCTTTTGAGATCGGTCAATGTCCCCCAATTCCAGGTCTATTAAGAGGTGAAGGTTCAAATTTGCCGGGTGTCCCTGACACCTCCTCTCGTCCCTCGTCGCTCACAATCGTTCGACGCCCCAATTTCAGCTTTCGAGCTTTCGAAGGGCGACGGACATCTGAGAAGGATGCCCGGTCATCCCAATATAAAAAATTGCATGCAATTTTTGGACTTGATGGTTGAAACGTCCATCGCTTCACTGAGGATAAAATAGTTTTATAATGTATAATATATATATATAATAATATATATATATAATATGTCGTTTTTATACTGTGTGTGTAGGGGGGGGAGCGAGGATAGCTATGTGTCGATCTTGTGCAGTATACTGCATGCATGATGAGAGCAATGTGGCATGGGCGAGGGCTTGCAAATTCGCCTGCAAAACAATGGCTGAATATAATGCCTTGGCTTGGGTGAAGAGGCAGAATGTTGCACGTGGCGCAGCTCCATCAGCTTTTCAAGTCTATCAGCTCTTATTTTACGCAGAGGCAGGTTTATGCAGTTCTCGCTGAGCCACTGAGCGATTTGGCAAGGCATCCACAAGTGGGTGCAGCGCTGGCATAGGCCGGGGGGGCGCCCGTCGGGGACAGGTGCGGTCAACAGATCAAGTCTTATTAAGACTCTTTAAAACTAGAGTTTGGTTGGTGGCATTGCGCTAGAGCCATGCAGTTCGCCAACCAAAGGAGCTAGTGGCACGTTAGTGGCATTGTACTTCAGCTATGCAGTTCTCGTTAGTGGCATTTGCAAGACTTCTTCTGCTTGTCCTTGTTGCAAGATGTGAAGGCACTTTCAATAACCCTTCGACTAAGCAATTTGCAGAAACCTCCCAAGAACCACTTTTTTCTCGACTCACAGAACAGATGCCGGACTTGGAATGTCCTCCCAGTGAAGAGCCATCAGAAGTAAGGGAACCTGAGAATCAGAGCATTACCAGCCGAACCAGAATGGCATGAACCTAATTAATTAAGATATATTAAGATTAAGTCCCCACTGTTCAGCAATGTTGATGCCAGATGAGGCTCACATGTTTTCGGGGTGGTTTATTATCTAATGCATGTGGGATGGTCCACCTAGTACCTGAACTCCATGTTTGACCCTCAACTTTGATTACAAGGGGGTGCGGGGGAGTGTAGATGCAATTACAATACTGCAATGTAAAGACGTAGTCTGAGGAGGCATTTCAGAGTTCGTGATCACCACTTGAAGGAAAAATCTGCCGTCTAGCATGGAAGAGAGTGATGTATGTGGGCCGGATGCTTGCAACGATGCTGGCGGCGAGAAGGAGAGAATTCGACGCACTTGTGTAGGCCCTCCGTGTATATGATATATTAGTCATAACTCCAATAACATTAGCAGCCCTAACTCCTCAGTCACTTGCCCCCAGTATAGTCATACTAGGGGGTGGTTACCTCATGACCACTCGGTGCAACCGGAGAAAAACAGGCCGCTCGGAGCAGGAGTAGCTTGGCCACCGTCGCCAGCGGCATGGTGGCCTGCAAGCAAAAAAAGCCGGTCAAACCATTGGCTGAGCACAGGGAGTGTTGCCAGCCTTGCTGAAACGCCCGTCCAGCAAAGGAATTGGGGAGTAGATTGAATTTTGGATGTGTTTTGGGGGTGTTTTCGAAGGCTCTATGAAGAAGCCTCCTCAAGGGATCACGCTCTAGAATGGTTAAGGGCAATTCATCTTCCAAGCTCGAGAAAGGTCAGACCACCTTCGAGCAACGTCTAGAGTCTAGGAAGTAGGCAGTCGGAAAACCTCCTCTTCAGGAGACTGGATCAAAATTCAGAAACTCCCAGTTCGGCTTTTAGAAAATGGGAACACCGCCCAATGCCAACGGATGTTTCGTCAACATCTGGTCCCTGAACATGTCGTGGTCTTTTGGTCAACCGTCCCCATTTCGACCTAACACTGCACTATACTTCATGGAGACACGATCTCCATCATGTTCGTGTCAGGTGTCACTCTCTCGTTGCAAAACCGGAAACTCTTGGAGCTACTAGTAGCAAGTGCATCCCTACTAGTAGCAAGTGCGCTACTAGTAACCAAGGGCATTACTACTAGCCAAGCGTCCAAAAACGTGCAACCAAGGGGCCTGGCTCTCCTAACAACCTCTCTCCTCTCCTAAGTAAGTGCGCTTCCTCCCGCCTCCGGGTCTTGTTGAAGCTTGGCTAGAGGATGGACTTCCACCGCCACCTTCGCAACCGACCACCGACCGCGGTGTAGAGACGGACCCGAGCGGTCGAAAGAAACCGGGTCCGGTAGGAGGTACCAGGTAGGAGGACGATCGAGATGAATCCATTCCAGAGTGGTATAGTTTCTATAGGTGTGTTTATATGGTTTTGTGTTCTAGGCTCGAGCTAGCCTGCAGAACAGGCAGGGAATATTGTGACCCCGGCTTGGACTCATGCCATGGTGTCAATGGACATGAGTCTTGGTCAAGTGCGATGGTGCCAGAGAAGAAGAAGAAGAAGAAGAAGAAGAAGAATGAGAATGAGAATGAAGAATGAGAATGGCGTAGTTAGTTTCCAAAGATGTATCTTATGTTCTAGATATATTTTCTATGACCCTGCGAAGCGCACTGGAAGCTTTTCCACCGCAAAACGAAAGGTAAAAACATGCTAGTGAAACTTGTCTTGAAATCTGCTTGCTTTGCTTCTTCTCGATTTGTGTGTGTCATCCGCATTGCAAGCGGGCTGAGAGTTCCTCGGGGCCGTGATGCAACATGGTGTGCTATCGGGGCCGCTTTCCTCTGGGCCGGCTATGTAGCGAAACTGCTTTGATCAACTGCATGCCTGGACATCTTCACACTGGTGTTTTCTTTTCTTTGATCAAAGCTCGCTTTCAGCTGATTCCTCAGCTTGTTCGGCCTTCACTTCAGCCGCTAGCTTCTGCCTTCGAAGCTTTTGCCTCTCTTCTTTCTGGCCATCTTCAGCTTTCACCTTCTTTCTATTCTGGCGTTCTGTCCTTTTCTTCTCTTTGAGCTGTCGGTTGAGCTCGTTCTGAACTAGCGAAAGCTTTCCTGTTCTAAGGAACTCACGGAGCATAGTTTTGTCTGCTCCCATCTTCGTGAGGACATCGGCAATGTTCTGCATGCCATCAATCCACCTCACATGTGCTCCATCCTGTCGGACGGTTTCTCGAAGAAGAGCTCCTTCTATGGCCATCCTTTTATCTGAAGAGGTGCTGGTGCTGTCTTTCTCCAAGTAGTCGTAGACAGACTTGGCGTCGGTGACGTAGACGCGTTGTCTTCTCTTGATGATCTCGGGCCAATTCTTCAGGTCGAGTTCTCCGGTCAAGGCCTCTTCTAAAAGAACGATCATCCAATCACCAGCTTCTACTGCTTCAGCCAAGTGGCTGGCCTCTGCGGCCAAAGTGCTTCTGCAAACACGCTTCGTGGTGCCGGAGTGAAAACTCAAAACATTGCAGCGAACTTCATCCCCATGTAGAAAGCCGGGGTTTGCTATCAGGATGAAAAATCCAACAGAGCGGAACTTCTTATCTCCAGCTTCATTGTTGTTGGCATGGCCGCTATCCGACAACATGACCATCACACCTTCAGCCAGGTTGACGTCGGACCAGTATCTCATCCGAAAGTCAGCTGCGCGTTTTGCTGCACCTAGGTACCCCTTCAACTTCAGGAGGTCTGCTATGCAAGGGTCAGCCTTGCACCTTTGGGCACAGCCGTTTTCAAACGCTAGGTCGCACCGTAACTGGCGCGAAAGCCATCCAAGCTCTCCAGCTGAACTGTTCAGCACTTCCTTCTCCTCCTCCGTCAGGCTGGACTCGAGCTGCTGCCGTCTTTCCTTCTTGAGGTTGACAGGCTTGAGAGACAATGCATAGTTCTTCATCATCACATCGATGTGTCCCTCAGGGGTCTGTCGAATCTCGCGACCTCTGAAAATGAAGTCGTGGACGTGGTTGGTTGCAAACTCAAGTGCAGCTGAGGATTTGGCAAAGGCTCGGTTGAGCCAATCCTCTTGAACTCCTCCTTCGAGGTCATCAACATGTGTCACAAGCACACCTCGAAGTCGTCCGCCTTCTCTCAGGTAGAAAAGTGCAGGTTCCAGCTTGGACTCTTGCCATCCATCAGCTAAGAGGTGCTCACGTAGTGCCAGCCAGAAAAGTCGGGCCGACTCTGCAAAACCATAAATGGCTTTATGAGCCTCCAGCAATTGACCAGGTCGTACTCCAGGGAGACCTCCTCTTTGTCTTTTGCCAGGAGCACAAAATGAAAATGAGCGACCAGGGCCAAACAAATGGATTCTGCTGCTGCTGACGCTGTTGGGGCGTCCCTCCTATAGGCACCAAGCATCTTGTCCTTGAATCCTTGCACGACCAGTCGGCTTTTCGCCTGAAATTCTTTTCCAACAATGCCCTCTGACTTGTTGGTTCGTACCCATCGCGTCGGCACGATCAAGTCGGGGCTGTCTCTGCGGATCTTTTGTGATCTCTCCAAATCAACAACTGTGCAGGCTTCCTTCTCGAGCCAGGCTTTCCATTCACGGGCATCTGAACCATCAGGTCCAGTGAACAAAAGCTGCTTGTCCTTGGGAATCTCATTCAGCTTCAGCTCTTTCCTGCCCTTCTTCTTGACAGGTGTCGTGGTTTGTCCGCTTTGGAAGGCATACTCGGCAAGCACTGCATACTTGTCGTCAAAAAGGTTGCGATACACTGCAAACATGAAATCACTTTGCGAAACACGGTGCTCCAAATAAAACTCTTCATACAAAAAGTACTGTTGGCGTGCTTCTGTGTTCAAAAAGTGCTGGGACTCCATGACCATGTATGCACGCAAAGGCTCTCCAACAAAATCCGCACCTTCCGATGCCTTTTCGTCAGCTGTGAGGCGAAGTCGTTTGGCCTCACGTTCTGCAGCCTCTGCATCAAACTCCACCACAGGGCTCAATTGTCGTGTCGGGCGTGTGTGGTAGTCGTCAAGGTCAGGGTCGAAATCTGAGCCTGCTGGGATCGAGCTTGCTTCTGCTTCCATGGGCTTGGAGGTGATGCCCATGTCTCTCAGCTTCTGTTCTCTCTGCTTTCTTCTTTCCTCAGCCTTGCGATTGAAGAAATCGCTGCTTTTGATTGCTCTTTTGGCGTCTCTTTCGGACTCATACTTCATGCGAGCCATGGAAGTTGAGCTCGCACTCAAGTCTTCTGAACTCGGTTCTTGAGCAGGTGGTTCATCTTGAAGCGGCACATCTTCACGAGGTGCCTCCATCGGCTCATCGGGGATCGAAGGTGTTGGCTCCAAATCAAGCTCTTGCTCACCTTCGGGTAGGTCAGGAAGCTCTGGTAGCTCTGGTGCAGAAAGCTTTGGAAGGTTCGAAAAATCAGGTGGTGCTGCTTTCCTCAAATCCAGAAAACCTGTTCCTCCAGCGGCAGGGACAGCATCAATGAGGTCGGTCTCGTGGTTCACATTGATCCACTGTTGAATCTCTTCCTCATATGCTCTGCTCAAATGCTCAGGAGAAACTGCTACCAAAATACCTCGGTGTGCTAACCAAACTGTGCTGCTGCCTTCATGACCAATCACTCTAGCGACTCCTCTCCAGAAACAGGGGCTGCTTCGCTTGTCGGCTGAATCCCAATAGAAAACATAGGTGCCAACAGGGAAAGGGCCTCGTGATGGCCGTGCTTTGCGAAGTTCAGCTCGGCGAAGTGCCGAATCATTGGCAGCTCTGGCAAAACTCTCACGTGCTTGCATCCTGATAACATTCTGTCTGTAAAAACGTGTACCAGGAGTTTCAGCTAAAGATTGTGCACTGAGCCGTCCAATCTCTGAATCATCGCTCAAGGCTGCAGGAAGTCTGACATCTCGGCCAATCACCCATTGAGATGGTGAGAAGCCGTGCTTGCGAGCCATCGAGTTCTTCGCTGCTGTAGTAGCTGCTGTAGCCATCAAAACTTCTTCTCTGCCTGCAATCTGTTGCGCCCAAACAAGTCGCTTGAACGTGGTTTTCCAGAGTCCTCCATGTCGCTCCACTTGTCCGATCTGCCATGGACTGGCTTTAGCAGCTGTGGAAAAATGACATCCGTGGCTTGAGAACTCCTCCGAAAGCTCTGCTAAAAAAATACTTGGCTCGGTCGCAAACAATGCCACGCTCAGGAAAACCTGCCCAGCTGCACCAATGTGAGTTGAAAGCTTCAAGCAGACATGCTCCAGTTGGATTCTGGTTGGTGTCGGGCAGCAAGGCACAAACCTGAAAGGTGGTTCCTTGGCAAAGGATGTTCAGCCAAGACCATTGGTGTCCTTGAGCATCACTTTCAGAAAACACATCCAAACCAATTTGAACATTGAAATCATGCACTGCAGGAACTTTGGAAGGTCGTGGTTCTTTGGGATGTTCATGCATTCTGGGGCAATCTTCACAACGAAAAAGGCGTGTGGCCTTGACAGCTGTATCTGAGGCTTTGGACATCCTCAAACATCGCAGCATAGTCTGCACATCAGCGTGTCCCAGATTCACATGAATGCGGCGTACCGCCAGCTTCAGCTCACGTGGTAGAGCTTGCCATTTTCGAAGTCGTTCCTCCTCCTTGGCTTGGAAGCGGTCATCCACTTCCATCTGCAAACCTTCTCCAAGCTCGTTGCCAAACAGGACCAAGTAGAGGCGACGCTTCTGGGCAACTAAAGGTCTCACTTGTGAAGCTGGGGCCATCTTTTGCCACTCTTCCCAAGAAGTTGCGAGGACCTTGCCATTTTCGAGCAAGAGATAGGACCGTCGAAGTGGAACTTCCAAGGGTCCAGCAAAAGGCTGAGGCTTTCTCATCCTCTTGGCGGTCTGTGAGGTCAGGATGAGTTTGACTTCCGCTTGTGCTGACTCATGTGCGACCCATTGTTGTCCAAGGTCGCTTTCGAGGTCAAGTCGTGACCCATCTTGTAGTTCTTCTGCTATGACGTGCTCCAGAACTGCATTCAAAAGGTCTTGTGGTTCCGGTTGTGAAAGCTCTTCCCAAAAACCTCTTTGGAGTTGTCTAGTCCTGGTTCTACGTCTCTTCAAGGTGTTGCCATCTCCAACTTGTCCAGGAGTCATGGGAGCGGGTTGGAGTGCTTGTGGTTCAGCGGCCTCAGTCAAAGTTCCAGGAGCAATTTGGAACTCGGTCTCGCCAGTCCACTCTTCCGTCATCATTTCTGGCTTGATCTTCCACCACGGACTCTGGTGTGAAGCCGTTTGACCATCTCCGAAGACCATGACGGTTTGGCGCTCATCCAACAAGGTCTCAAAAGGAACTGGCAGATCCATTGAAGCCACCGGCACAAAAAGCAATCTCCTCGGCACGGTGTGAATGCGAAGAAGTCTGTCCTCCTCCAACTTCCAGCTGTCGCCGAGGTCAATCTCTCTGTCTTGGAGCTCATACTCAATGTCCTCCTCATCAACAAGGGCATAGGCATGTTGAGCGGTTGAAGCCATCATGACCTTGTAGTCAAGCTGCATCTGCTTGAGAACTCCATTGCAAATGGCCTTGCACAGAGGCCGTGGATACTGAGCTGCTTGCTTGGAACGAAGGCCGTCTTGGTTCCGACCAACTAGGGGCTGGTGACTGCCCCAGTGACAGGTGCACTTTCGACCAACATGGTTGAGGATCACCTCGGAGTTGCAAAGCCATCCAGTTGGTTTCCGGATAGGTCGAAAGCTCTGGGAGTCTCTGCATCCAAAAGGACATTGGTCACCAGTGACAAACTTGCCACCGGCATGCTCCAAGAGCTCTGCTAAAAGACCTTCATGAACCCAAGCGTAGCTGCCAGCCGGGTTCTCAATGAGATAGTATCTGCCTCTTCGGTGTTGGATCTTGCAAATCTTGACAATGAGCTTGAGGGTCACCTTGCCGATGGTCTCTCTCAAATTTGCCCACGGGTGACCGGGAGACATGTTGGTCAACAAACTCCAGATCCGGCAATCGAAGGCGATGAGGACCAAGTAGGGAAGGTGGTCGTCCAACACTTGATACAGTAGTCGACGGCCTGAGGTCGAGAGCAAATCATAGCCGTCTCGAAGGTCCATTGGTTGGGAGTTGGTCCAACCGTAGTCTCTGGAAGCAACTCTTGTTGTGCCAAAAGAACCTGCAAAGGGCTCGAAGATCACGGTTGTCTTGAAGTCAAGCGTACAGAACTGCTCTGCAAGTGTATAGTGGCGCTTGAGTGCCGCCCACATCCTCTCATCAGCAACTTGGATGTGAAAGGCTGCATTCTTCAACTCCTCAACTCGTCTCTCGGACATCTGTCCGGTTGGGTCATCAGGGCGGATGCCCCGTTGCTGAGTGCAAGCTTGTAGAACTCGTCCTTCAGGAGGTTGCCATTCTGGTAGTCCAGGTTGTCCAGCAAGAAGTGTCATCTGAGCTTCCTCACCATAGTAAACAAGCAAATCTTCACGCTCAGAGACAATGCGAGGTTCTCGACTTGTAGAGGGAAGTTCTTCAGTCTGGACTGCGGCCTCAGGGTCAAAGGCGATGTCAATCGCCAGGTGTCTTGACTTCGTGACCAGCATAGGGACTTCCAAGTCGAGCTTGCGCACCTGAACAACTTGCTCCTTGAGGTGTATGACCATGTCCAAGGCCGACATGGCCGAGATGCTCAAAAGCAAAGGTGTCATGCCCTGCTCAATCTCCGCACTGTAGACCTCACCCTGGTACCCCTTGATGAAGATGGGAATCTTCCAAACAACTGCCTTGGCTTCTGTAGAGGAACCATTGGCGAAGTGAAAGGACTTGCGGATGGGCGTTTGAGTGCACCTCAAGTTCTCTGGCAACAAGCGTTCATAGCTTTCTCTCCATCGTCGACTGTGCATGCAGGCCGTGCAGGCCGTGTCGAGGAGGCACAGTCTGGACTCATCAAGTTCTCCTTCACAAACTGCAGGTCCAAAATGGTGATGCTCCTGCTGTTGTGAGTCTATTGAATTCTGAAAAACGCGGTGGTCTGCGACATTGGGCTCATCAACTAAATTCTCATGCAATCCACCTTCTCCAAGTGCATAGATGCCGAAGGTGGGTGAAATCTCTTTTACCAAGGTGCTAGACGCCTCCGCCCTTGAAGGGGCGGCAGTACTTGGCCTCATCATCATAGGCCCTGCTCCAATTGTAGTAGTCGGCGTCCACCTCAATGAGCTTCCGCGTGCCTCGGCAGCCAGTAGGTTGGCTATAGCGCGAGCAGCCGAAGAAGAGACCTCCATCATCTCGGTTGCGACGAATTGCCATATGGTTGCCACAAGTAGGACAAGGGACATTCGGATCTGCCTTGCCCACACGATCGACTGGAACAGCGATGCCCGTCCGGCTGCACATGACGAACTCTTCACGAAAACGGGCTGCCCTCTGCTCTGCCTCGTCCCTCCGAAATCCATGGCTTGGATCTTGATAGCCGGACTTGCCGAAGGAAGCTGCAGGAATCTGGTCGTTCTCAAGCTGGTAGTCATTCGGGTCTTCCTTCACAGCATAGGCAAAGTCCTTGGAGCGGCGAAGCTTCTCAGGCATGGGCTTTGGTGCCAACTTTGTCTTGGGCTTGACCACTGGCATTTGTCCATCAGAACTTGAGCTCGCAACTTTCCTCGGGGAGGTTGTGGATGATGGTCGATCAAGTCGAAGCTGCACGAACTGTTTGGTGCATCCCTTCTTCTGGATTGGCTCACCAGCAAAGAAGCGCATCAAGCGCGCCTTCATGTCACTCTTGTTGCCGCTGGTGAGGATGCCCCAGGATTCACATTCGGCCTGAAGCTGGTAGGCCTTCAACTCATGGAGCTTCTTCGGCATGACCTCCTCGAAGCTCGGGACCAAGAGAACCTTGATCTTGTCTGAGGGCACAGTCATCTCGATCTTGACAGGGACATCATCGGCCTCAGACACATAGGGCTCGGGAATGGCCGTCATAGAAGCATAGGAGGTGCTATCAAACTCCACTGGCTCAACAGCTTCCCAATCAGACTCCGAAGGTGGAGCCCGGGCCTTCTTTCGACGTGCATCCAGGTCGGCATCGTGCATCTCATCGGTGGTCTCATCGTCATGAACCATGTGGCAAAAGGCATCTTCCTCGTCCATCTCACTTCCAAGGCTGAAGTAACGAGGGCCTTCTTCAACGTAGAAAGCTTTGCCACCGGTCTTCCCTTTGCTCTTGCCTTTCCCTTTGCCTCCACCAGATCGCTTGCCGTCCATCTTCTTGGGGCCACTCTTGTGTGACTTGCTGCAAGCTGCATCTCCAGCCCAATGGCCAACTCGGCCGCAGGCAGCGCATCTGGTCCTCTGCTTCTCCCTCTGAACAGCTGCCTTGCGCTCCTCCAAACTGATCTCGCCCTTGAAGTCGCCGCGGAAGAAGCCACGATTTCGTTGAAGTTCCTTCAACTTGTTGCGACTGGCTTGATACGAGGCGTAGGCCTCATGGACTTCATCGTCGTCGCTGGCTCCAAGGTCGGAGGGTGGATCCTCCTCTTCCTCCACAGCATAGCTCTCTTCAGGGTCAAAGAGCTCTTCAGGATCATAGATCTCGTCAAAATTCTCGACATTCTCAGGAACCTCAGACTCATCCACGAGGTTGGCATAGTGTTTCTTGTACTTGGGCTGGTACTGGTATCCAGCCTTCTTTGGCCACTCACGTCGGCCTTCTCGCTCGTGGATGTCATGGAACGAAATGCGAAGCGACTTCTCGATGCCTTCAAGGGTGTAGTCGGACTGGTTGGCCAACAACACTTGCCTCCGATCTTCTCGGCTCAGCGAGGCATGCTTCAACAGAAAGAAGGCTCTCAGGTCTTCGCTCATCATGGTGTTCTCCGTGAGGTCGATGAGGTCGTTCCATTCCTGAGTGCGCTTGCGAAGCCAGGAGTCGATGCTTTGGCCTTTGTGTCGCTGACACTTTTCAAAGAACTGCTCGAAGGCTTCGGTCTTTCGGAGCACAGCTGCCTTCTCGATGGATTGCAGGGCACGAAACACATGCTTGTAGCCGTCCTTCTCCCGGAGCTTGTCGTTCTCACCAAGAAGGCTTTGGCATGCCTTCCACGCTTCTCCATGAAGGCTATCTAGGAGCTTCTTTGCGAAGCGAGATTGGCGCTTCTCAAGATCTTTCTTCTCCTTCTCCGGGGTGTCACCATCGCCTTCCAAGTTGTTGTAGGCGAAGAGAACTCGACGGCGGTATTCCGTCATCAGGCCAGGGACTGCCCCACTATAGTGGGGGATACCATCTTTATCCACCACCACTTCATCATCTCTCCAGAAGGGGCGGTGATCGCCCACCGAAGACGCCATGGCACGCGGGAGCCGGCACTGGTCGCCGGCTCCGCTACCAGTGCGAAGCGCACTGGAAGCTTTTCCACCGCAAAGCGAAAGGTAAAAACATGCTAGTGAAACTTGTCTTGAAATCTGCTTGCTTTGCTTCTTCTCGATTTGTGTGTCATCCGCATTGCAAGCGGGCTGAGAGTTCCTCGGGGCCGTGATGCAACATGGTGTGCTATCGGGGCCGCTTTCCTCTGGGCCGGCTATGTAGCGAAACTGCTTTGATCAACTGCATGCCTGGACATCTTCACAGACCCCATGAATGGTCTCGATTCATCAAACACACAGTTCACACATGGATTGAAAACCCTACTTCATTGGTCATCTTCCAAACCTGGAGAGACCTCGACTCGGATGGAGAAACCTCGCCTGGCCCATCTTCTCCTGGTGGAACTTCAACGTCCGTCCCAGCATTGAGGTCTCCTGCGACGTGTCCTGCGTGGTGTGGGAGATCGGTTTGGCCCAGATCCGGTCGCTGCAGCGGCCAACCGCGCCCCACTCTTTTGGGTTCGCTTTCCAAAGATTGGATGAAGGTGTAGACCACGCGAGAAAAGGAGAGCCAACCAAACCCCGTCTTTCTGAGATGGATCCGAAAACTCGTTGCACGCATACGACATACACCAACTAGGTGAAAGGTGAAAAGGTTCGGATTTGAAAGCCTCAAGGACAATTGAAAAGTGTCTTCTCCATCATAGAACGGTTCTTTTATAACGGCCGTTGGGGGATAGGTGTTCATCTGAAATCTCCAAAAAGGGGCGTTGGCGGCAGTGCGGAAATCAGCCGTCAGTCACGGAAGGAACACCAAAATTGTGAGTGCACATGTTGCCTTCTGGTTCGGGAGCCTGGCAGGACAGGTTTTGACACTTAGTCGTCACTAGGTGTAGCCTAGCTGATCCACAAACCTGAAGTTTTTGCTCCAAGACCTAAGAACCCTCAAACCAATGCCGAACCTGAAGATTCGTCCATTTTGCGAATATCAGCTGCATTGACCGCTGGGGGTCGAAAGTCAGAAATATATCATAGACAGAGAGAGAGAGAGATTAACAAAAACCCAGAGACCCATCTTTGTGCTTTGCGCGTATTGTTCAATGCTGATTGAATAGTTACCCCCTGATTAAAGTCTGCACAGATTTTGTTCGATTATATTATATATAGTAATTGTAATAAACTAACTATATATATGTGTGTCTTCCTAAGTAATTATTACAATAGTGCAATCCCCTACAATGATGTCTACCATGTGTCTGTATATGTTTGTGAAATGTCTATATCATGTTGTTCCTTTTAAATGTCCATTTAATTTACTTGTGATTCCTTTTGATGTCCTTTTCAACTCCTTTTGATCTCCATTACTTACCTTTGACAGTGTTTCATTATCTTCTTTAACTCCCTGTAGCCCAGTACACTAGAAATCTTGATAAATATAACTTCCCTCGACTTCTTGGTCGAGATTCCGCATTGGAAGGCATAAAAGTGCTTGGTGCTGTGTGCTGGCTTGAGCACATCCCCTCTCGAATCGCTCGTTTAACATCTTTTGGACTCGAGCGCGGGCGCTCACGAGTTTCGGGTGTGGTTTCACGTGATTGTCGATCTTTCAGAGTTCAAAGAAGCCGGCCAAATCATCACCACGTGGCTTTGGGATCTTACAAGCCGGACCCCGAAGGACCTCCCCGGCTGGAGCTCTGTTTTTTCACCCACCGTGCCTCCCAAGGATTCTCTTGGAAGACGCCGCCGGTTTTCAGGTAGCGGCCGAATTCCACAATGCCTTCGGACGAGAGCTCCTTGCATCCAAGGTCGGTCGAAGGTTGGTCAGGATGAAGCATCACGGGCACTCCCGCACGGGCACTCCCAGCGCTAGTGGTGTCTTTGGAGGTGACCTGCACACCCGTCCCTGTGCCATGTTCGAGACTTCCGTGTGTTCTGTCAGCTTTCTGATGTGAACTTCCGAAGTTCGTGTGGTTGGGAAACGATCGATTTTTCTTCATAGTCAACTTAGGTGGTCCAAAAGCAGCCATGATAAGGAAGTGTGACGTGTACTCAGTACTCTCGTGTTTCCTGTCCTGTTTCTTGTTTCTTATTTGTATGAAAGATCTATTGCTCAGAAGTTGTTCAACCTGTGGATCTACAGTAATGATATGATCCTGTCTTTCCACTTTCTGTTCTCATCTTTTCCTACTTCTGTGGCACTCCAAGACCATGATCTTCCGGGTCTCTATCCCACTTGGCAAATCCCTGTTTACACCAAGACCTCAGCAGCTGGTAGAATCCGAAGCTTGTCCGAAAAGAAACCAGCTGGTAGAAGCGGTGACAGTCCGAAACAATGGTGTTTTATAGGATCAGAGGAATGATTAGAGTATAAAGTCCCCATTTAAGGCAAGTCTTCTTGTAATTCATGAACAGTCTCCTGACAAAATCAGCCTCCTTTTCTGCAGCATTTGGATACGGCAGGAGAAAGTTTCATAATTACTGCCCTAACCGATTTGTACAAGGAACACTTCTACTTGCTGCAAACCTGCTCTGGGATATGTCCGTCTTTTTCTTGCTCACGTGGCCCGAATTCTTACGCCACACCCAAGATGTACCCTACATTTCCCTGTGAAACAACAGCCAGTGGCCGGAAATGTCCTTGGCCAAAGCCTCAACATCCTCCTTGGCCAAAGCTGAGATCCGACCAGGTCGATATCGCACCCAGAACCAATGGTTGAACAAGGTTGTAACTTACTGTCCCCACCCCAAGCATTAGAAAGACCATTGGTCTCCACTTGGCCCAAAACTACATCAATGGCTGCTGCGACTCTGGAATTCCAGAGTCTTCAATGGTCTTCAAGGGCATCCTCGAACGAGCTCTTGTCACATGTGTTGGTGGGGACTCGTTGAGGTCCTCAATCACTTGAAACGCACAAAAATAATCAAAAACATCAAGTGGTTTCAGATTGGGTGTATCCTATTCCCTGTAGCAGTGGATGATGATGGTGGTGTTGCAGGCCTTTCTCTAAAATAGTGACAGTTGTTGAGCGTTCAGAGTACGTGGCACTGGCACCCCCCAGATGTCTTAGACAGATCAAGGTCCTCTACTAAACTAAACCACAAAACTTGGACATTTGTTCCATCTACTCTGAAACCATCGGTTAAAAATAGAAAAACAGAACTCGTGGGGGCGGCCCATGTTCAGTTCACAGAACATAGATGCTCGACTTCAGAAAGTTGTTGATGTCGCGGAGGTTTCGAAAGACCGTTTGAGATACTTTGATGATCTTCAAAGTGAGCATGGCTCAAAACTTACACTCATGTATGTAGGTCCGTAGGTCCAAATTGAAGAGGATTGGCAACACTTGGGGGGTGGGTTGACTCAAAAGAAATGCTGCAGTAAGGAATGAGGATGGCTGAAAAAGCTTGACCTTCCTTCAAAGAAACAATGAATCAAGTGCCACCAATCCCAAAACTTTCGAGCCACCCCCCCCAGCCCAAATCCGTCACAATCTTGGGTCCAGGAAGTCACTTCGATGCTGACCAAGCACAGTCTGAAATCCCACTCTCTTTCAGAAACAACACCGCGGATGCTGATCCCAATGGTTTCACCAGCGATTGTACTACAGCGTTTAGCCTGCTGGTTGGTGAACCATCAACTCACCAGCACCACTGAGTTGAAGTGGGTTCAATCATCAAGTAAAGATTGAAAGAACATATCTGAAACCACCACCACCCAGCCTGAGTGTATCAAGCACCTCCCCCAAAACACGCGAGGAATGGACCTGAAGGGACCAACTGATGAAGTCCATGAAGTCGCAGGAAAAGGCTTGGGCACCACACCGGAATTGGACGTCCAAAATAGCAGACTCCCAAAAGTCCTGGTTTCCCTGGTTTCGCCTTTTCCAGTGTTTGCCTGACCCATCTTTGTCTTTCTTTGAAGGATTCTTGCAGTTGGCCCCAATGTGAAAAAAGAAACATCTGATTTAGGAAGCACGCTTTTTTTGTACCTCCCTTCAAACGTTGGTTTCTCTCGGGCTGCTCCTTGTTCAGCTGCTTCTTCTCGGACTTCTTCTCAATCCAGCTCTGAATCTCCATGCACTCCCAGGGCGTCGGCCTGTTTGCTTCGGTTTGCTTCGGTGGCCACCGAAGCCGACCCGCGGGAGACGACCCAACAAAGACACGAGCTCCGAAGCAAGAGGTCACCTGGCCATGATTCTGTTCGAGAAACTTCCTGAAAAAAAGGGCTTCGATCGACTTGGAAGCGCCTGTTTCAAGGGCCACCCTCTAGGGAGGGTGTCTATCAAGGTTGCCCCAATAGCTTGCAGGTGATGGAGTGTCCAGAGTCCATCAACCACCACTGGTATGTGGGGAAGTCAAGTTCTCCTCGTGACTCTTGACTCAGAGGGTCAGAAATTCTGATCAAAAAGTGTCCCGGACCCCAAGTCACGTATCTAGCCATTAGAGAGTTGAGAAAATGAGTTTTCTCTACCAGGCGAGTGCTTTTCGAGTTTGCGGGGAGGGTAGAGAGCTGAGGGAGTGGGCCCCGCCCTTGTTTGTGAACGCCGGTCCTGTTCTCAACAATGCTGAAAAAATCCACATCTGCAAGGTTGCACTTGTTCTCCGATATTAAGCGGTGCAGGTTCCTCTTGATGATCCAGGCCTCAAGCCAACATAGTGACCTCCATGATGTTCCAATTTACCGGTCCCCCAAGGTGGGGATAGAATGACTCTGGATATGTCCAATGACTCTGGGAGATGTCCAATGCTTGCACCCTGACCAACCCACTGACGCATAAGGAGTGAGTGGCCGGTGCCCCTGGAAAAGCGGCGCTTTTTAGCACATCTCCCACCGAAACTGCCTCGTCTGCTCATGCTGAAGCTTCATCCTGAAGCGAAACTTTCATGTGGCAGAGGGGCTTTCGCGATGACAGTCCCGTTCCGCTCAATCGAACCACATTGCGAAACCTGATGAGCACTGCAAAACCATCTTGACCACTTTAGTG